GATTGTAAACGGAGTCCGGGTATTGCCCCTGTCTTGAGGCTTCTAGACACACTCTTGGTGCAGATCATCTGTCTAGCACCCCCTCCTGAGAGCTGAGTCTTCACAGTCCAACTGCCTAGACCCTAGGACTAGACTGACCCCTCAGACTTCCCCCATAGCTTAACACCCTTTCCCAGAACTCCAGCCAGGTGAGTGTCCTGCAGCCACATGTTAACTCTTCAGGCGTATGTTGTTAGGGTGACCATATTTTCTAAAGGGAAAATGGGACACCACACAGTGCTCGCCAGAAGCCACCCACCCCCACCCCGCGCAGAACTGGCCTGAGCTGCTCGCCTCAGCCCTGGCCCAAGCCACTCACCTGAGTCCTCCCCACACCCCCACAGGGAGCTGGCCTAAGCCGCTTGCCCGGGAGCTCCCGCCCAGGCATGGGGCTGGCCTTAGGTCTCTTAGGTCTCCCACCAGGCCCGAGCCACCTGGCATCACTGCTTACCTAAGCCCCCATCACCTGGGGCTGGTGTTGCCACTTGCCCTCCCCCTCAACATTCCTCTGCAACTCACTAGGGCACGCTCCACCTTTTTGTCAAAGCTGGGTATTTGTCCCGTTTGCTCTTGAGCAAATAGGACAAATGCCCAGTTTTGGGGAAAAAATTGGGATGCCCGGGATGGTACTGGCCAAAATGGGACATGTGGTCACCTGATATGTTGTTGGTGGAACACAACACACAGACTTTGCACAGCATTCTGAGACATCATTGCTAAGTACTTAATTGCACAAGCTGAACGCAGATCTAGACAAACAATAAATGCTACACACATTTTCCTGCCTCAGTTTCCTCACCATTCCATAGTACTCTTTGGGCTTGAGTCAGAGTCCTGTGGATCCAGGGTTCTTCTGCTTCAGTGCATGGCTTGTTTTCTCAGTCATGGAGGGCCCTCCCCCTTCAGGTCAGCTTGCTCTCTCTGACCTTGGTTGGTTCCGCAGCTAAACCAGCCCCCCCACTAACACAGCATGCCTAGCTCTTCCCCTCCAGTGCCGGCCCAAAGCTTGCTGTGACCATGTGTTTTTATATATCCCACCATCACCATCTGACTCATTTATTCTGCTTCTGGGGATTTTCCATTACTGTAAACATCAGCCCCTTGTTAAGGTGAGAGAGAAAACTGGTTCTCCAGGCTTCAGCCAACCATCACAGCCTACCCATTGTTAGGTCCGAGTACAGATATCGCAGTCAACTGTGCTCCATTGTTCCCAGTGCGGTGGGGTTACATGCTACTGGCCCTGGTGAATTCCATGATACAGCAATTTTCATGGTAATAGTCTCATAATGTCAACCAGAATCCATAAGTTGTACATATTCCTCAGATCCTCACAACTCCAGGGTACCCTCCACTCCCACTAAGGTCAATGGGAGTAGAGGGTACTCAGCACCTTGTGGAGTCAGACCTTTGACCTATTCACTTTGGTGATTAACAAACACTCTATATTCTAGACAGGGTAACTGCTGGCATCTTCCCAGGGTTTGTTTGTTTGATGAATCCCATCATGACCAGTTATCCTGTAAGCGCATTAGTATAAAAGCAATATCCTGAAGAGAGATTTGGCCTATTTTTGTGGGGGTAAAATTCAAGGTTTCTTAGCATGGCAGTCACATCGTTAATAATAAAATCTGGGCCCAATTCTCTTCTCATGCAAGAGAACATCTACGGCGTTTCACCAGGGTAAAAGCAGTGTGAGAGGGAATCTGGCCTCATTTACAGGTCCAGTGCTTCAAGGCCTAACAAAATGTCTAACACAGAATCAGAAGTGAGGAGCTGCCAACTCCTGTCTCCCCAAGAAGATATACTCTCTGCTGCGAGGTCAGAGGGAGCAGCAACTTTCCAGGGGTGCTGTAAAAGCCCCTGAGAAAATGTATTTTCTTTTTAGAGCTAAGTCCATTTTGGACTCCTAAGGGCTCCATTCTGCGATGGGCTGAGCACTTTAGCACCAATTTAGCAAAGCACTTGCTTACGTTCAAGCCAAGGGGACTACTCACATGCTTAAAGTGGAGCACGTGCTTCAGTGCTTTGCTAAATGGGGCTCCGAGCACTTTGCAGGATGAAGCACTCCCTGTGCCAGACTTGCGATTTGACAAAGTGAGAATCAAGGGTTAGAGCAGCACCTCGGGCAGCTTTCTGAACAGTGCTTGCCGTTCCTGCCAATCAATTACACATTGGCGTGGAAATGCACTTGCAAGCAAATGCAGTAGTTGTTATGTGTCAGCAGCAGCCTCGGCATTGCTGTACAAATGGCCAAGCAGTCTGTATGGAATTAGAAAATGAAAGACAGGCATTATAGCCTAGCTTGGAGGCCAGTAGAACAAGCACATACAGTCAGAGGATCCTGAATAACTAGGAGTACTAGGCATATGGGATGACTGATGACTTAGCTGCTCATCAAAAGAAAAATACCTCCACAAATAAAGACCACAACCTCTTTGCAATTATCAATAGCAAAAAAATGAATAAGGAAGTCACAGAATGCCTGGGAATAGAGAATAAGTCCCAATTCCCTCCTTTTGGCCACGTCAGTGTAGACACTTTTTTTTTTTAATTATATATATCAATGGAGCCATAGCACAGAATAGACCACTGGAGTGGTACGAGCCAGATTTTTCAAGAGGACTCAGCATTCATAATTGGGGTTAGATTTTCAAAAGATCTCAGTTCCCGTAATAATTATTTATTATTTGTATTAGGGTAGCACTTGCAGGCCAGGGCCTCATTTTGCTAGAAACCTGTATGAACATAAAACAAAGAGATGGTCCCTGCTCTGTGTCACAGAAGGAGCTGAGCATTTGAAAATCTAACCCAAAGGGATTAAAGTATGCCAGTGGATATTTACTTCTACAAAACATGCTGGATTATTAATGAATTGTTATGCACAGCTGAACAGTGCTATTCCACAGCAGCAAATATAGTGCATATAATGAACTGTCAAGTTAAATGATCACATTTTCTTTGTCGATGCACCATGATCACCACCCTAAATGTTCTTAGTTTGCAAATATATCAATGAGTCTTATCTTGTCCACAGCTATTTAAATAATAATCAGCTATGTCTTGCAAACACTGGCCTCTACTGGATGGAATGTCATTAGCAGCTACGTTCAAATGGATATATGCACAGGCTGCCGTCTAGAGACCTACATCTTGGCCTAAACAAAGGGCTGGGAAACGGAACAGGAGAAAGATAAAAAGGTAAGAAAGGAGGAACAGAAAAAGAGAGAACGGAGGAAGGGGAGACAAGAGCAAGGGAAAAGGAGAGATGAAGGAGGCAATAAGGGGAGAATTGGAAAGGAAAAATGAAGGAGAAGAGGCAGCTACCTCTGTTGTCATAATCCTACTACTCTGTGAATTTCTCACTGGCATCAGCTTGCAAAAGTTGTCAAAAAAAAATTACCAGCCAAGACGGAAAATCTGCTCACCTAAACTTTTACCACAAGAGGGAGAAGGAAAAGAAATTACACGGTTTTACTTACCAGTCAAAAAACAAAACAAAAAAACAGCCCACCCTGGGCGGGCAATGTTGCCAGGTTGAGTAACGAGGTGTCCGTGATCCCACATCATACACGCGTTGCACTGGCCTCTGTGGGGTGGATGTCAGACCTGTTCTAGTGTCATCACGTCGCTCTCCCAGTTAGTTGCCCTGGTGGCTAAATATTAACCCCAATGACCAGTATTGCTGTAGGTGTCCCAATGACTCCTCTGATTAGTGTGAGGGATCATCATACTAGCTGCCCATGGCAGCAGCCTAGAATGTATAGACACCTTTAGACTATCCTGAAACAGCCATGAATTTCACAGATTACAACTATTACTCATTGTGATGGGGTGGACAAACCCCAAACTGGACTAGGAAAGAAAGGAGTTAACGGTGTGTTCTGGAGACAGGATACAGCCCATGCTACCCTATAGCACAAATACTACTGTTACAAAGGCAGCGTGCTCCAGTGTTAGGGCACTGGAGTGGGACTCAGGAGACCTCAGTTCTACTCCCACCTCTGTTACTGTGTCCCCTTGGGTGGCTCACTTCATAGAATCACCTCTCTATGACTCTGTTTCTGCTCCACCCTCCACCCTCTGTCTGTCTTGTGTATGTAGACTGAAAACTCTTTCAGGAGGTACAGTAATGCACACAACGGGGCCCTAAGCCCAGTTGGGTCTTCTAGTTACCATCATAACATAAATATTACTACGACCAACATCCTAGCATTAGGGACTGACACCATCAGGTCTCCTCACATTTACCTTTAACATGTTGTTGGGATACCATTGCTAGTTTCTCTTAGTCTTATTGAAATACTGAGTTGTAGCATTTGGATGCTGAGTGAAAGGTTTCCAAGGGTCTGCCTACAGTTTCTACCACTGCAGATCCACTAACAGTAGTAGTGCGGGAATAGATTGTTAAGTCTAGAGATGACAGTGGTTAAAATGCCTGCAGGCAGTCTACATTCGGGCTCCCAACACTAAAGCTGCACCAATGGAAAGTCAATAGTGGAGAATTTAAAGAGAAACATTACTAAAAACAAAGGCTAAGAAAATCAGAAATTAGCAGTGCGGTGTCCTATCAACATCTTCTGCCAAAGTGCCTAACTGCACATTCTTTCCACTTCACCAACCAATAATGTTACACCAAAGTTAATTTCCTGATAATGGCCTTGGTTCTCTGCTCCAGTACTACCCTGGTGGATTGCAGTGTTCTACCCTTACCAAGGTCAGTTCAGTTACACTGTCATAAAACTGGCATAACAGAGTGGATAATCAGGCCATGTGTCTTTAAAACTATATACCCTGGATGAAATCCTGGCCCCACAAAGTCAATGTGAGTTTTGCCACTGACTTTCACATGGTCAGAATTTCACCCCTTCTCTCTTTCCTATTGTGAAAAGTAAAATAAATTCCTCTGTTAATACCAAATTTTACCATAATTTTAGTAACACAAGGAGACAACTACCAGCATCTAACCTTGGCTAATGTCTTAAAATAACTGTGTTTATTGTACAATTTTAAAGGCAGTAACAACTACAGGATGGGTTTTAAAATGCCTCTGCACAGTACTACCACAGGCAAAGATTTAGGCTGAAAATAGCGTCTCTTTCAGCGGGTTACTGTTTTTCAAGAACCACACACCAGTTTCCCTGATCATAGTAACTCTTTTGAATTCTTATGCAATCCAGGGTTTTGCAGGCTGCTTCCAGTTCTCCTTCACAGAACACATGATAATAGCGGTGGAAAACAGGACTGAATTCTTGCAATTCCTTAGAACCAGCTGGAAGCTGAAGGACTTTGGCATATTCCCCTTTCTTGTTAGTGCCCCCTTTCAGGTGCCAGGGAACCAGCACATCTTGAGAATGAAAGGACGTTCTGTTAGTATGAACAGGCAGCTTGGAGTTAATTACCTGCTTTGCATTGCCGCCTTTATCCTTAGAGTCATTAAGGATTTGGTCAGAACATGCTGAGTCTTGGCTACCGTTGTCATGCGTTTGATCACAGAACAATCCCCAGGCCACATCAGTATTGATTTCCTCTTCTTTCCCTTTACTAGCTCTCTTTTCCTTAAGGTACTTTGACTTCTGTTTGTTGTATTCTTGTTCCATTGCCCAGACATAAATGAGTGCCTTTCCGCCAGGCCTTAGGAGCCGGGCTAATTCACAGACAGCAGCCAGTCTTCTTTCCTAGTAATGAAAAGACTCAGTGAGTACATATGCAGTTAGTACATAAGCAGGAACACAACGTAATGGAACTGACAGCAACACCACTGCTGCAATGAACAGAAATGATTCCTCCCTGCTCTACCCCCAGGTACGAAACAGACTAGAGATATTTTTTTTCCATCCTACTCTTTGGTTATGTGTTCTTAGCCTGACAGAAGTGAGCATACTCCCCACTTGTGGGTGATGATGAGTAAGGGGGCAGGGGAGTAATTCATTCATAAAGTAGGTTTCAGAGTAACAGCCGTGTTAGTCTGTATTTGCAAAAAGAAAAGGAGTACTTGTGGCACCTTAGAGACTAACCAATTTATTTGAGCATAAGCTTTCGTGAGCTACAGCTCACTTCATCGGATGCATCCGATGAAGTGAGCTGTAGCTCACGAAAGCTTATGCTCAAATAAATTGGTTAGTCTCTAAGGTGCCACAAGTACTCCTTTTCTTTATTCATAAAGTAGTCAACCACTACTCACATGGGCTAGACCAAAGCTACATGGGAACTACTTTTTGTCTACAATATGTGGTAACATCAGCTGTATTGATTTTATTTATTTTTATTACAAGTAGCACTCAGAGGCGCCAATTGAGATACAGGCCCCACCCTGCTGGGTGCTGTACAAACACACAGTCCCTGCCACAAAAATCTTACAATCTAAATAGACAAGACAGACAAAGTGTTGTGATCCCCACTTTAGAGAGAGAGAATAGAGGCACAAAATCTCAGACTGAGCCAGGAATTTAATCAACATCTCCTGAGTCCTAATGCAGAGTCTTCCTCTCAAATGTCATTAATTGTAACAAGAGCAAATGAAACATAGATGACTATACAATCAAACCAAATTCTTAAGAGAAAGTGGAATACCACCATGGTGGTCTGCACAGAGTGGGAAAATGACAGGGACAGGGATACCACTGCAGATTCTGATGTCTAAGGAAGTCTTTGAGTTGTAATACAGATCTATTGCAACCTTATCACCTAGGACAGCACCCAGGAAGCAATGGGAAGTGACTGGAGAAGCAAAGGCAGCTGATAAGGAGGGGAAATCACATGAAGACAATTTGTCAGGAGGAGCAGTCGTGAGTCAGGTTAGCTGGTGTGCTCTGCCTGCTGATCATCATACTAAACTCAGTCATTTCTCTGTCTACTGTGTCCTTCTTCCTTTTTGTCTGTCTTCTTCACATCTTTCTCATCATCTGCTTAGATTGTAAACTCTTAGAGGCAGGGACTCTCCTTGATGTGTCCAGTGCGTGCACCCTAATCTCTGAAGGATGATTCTAGGAGCTACTGCAATACAAATTATTACTATTATTTATATTTGTATTATAGTAGTATCTAGAGGCATCAGCCCCATTGTGCTAGGCACTGTATAGACACAGAGCAAAGAGATGATACCTGCCCCAAAGAGCTTACATTCTAAATAATCTAAACAAATATTAAATCTACATAATAACAACATCAAGATGCAGCACAGCCCAATCTTATCAACCACCCCATGTGTAACATCTCTTCACCTTATGATCCTTTTAATGCCAGGGAGTACGGAAAGTGTTGGAAGTTTTTGAGGCGGAAGGAGTTGCAGGAGACAAGAAGAGAAAGGAATGAGAAGGGATGAAGTGGCTATATCCATCCCCTCAGGCCTTCATCCTCCCTGTCCGTACTTTCTCCTCTTTTCTTTCCCTCTCATTTCCTTACACTCCCACATTCTCTCCTCTTTTGAGATCCTCTTTTGCCATTCACTTTCCTGTGGGACAAGCTGGTGACCTCTTGTGAGATCTACAGATGTGAGTGGACTTACTGCTGTAGAAAAATGGTGGATTACAGCGATGGAGATGCAGGCATCACAAGAACTATTTCGAACTGGCACAGACAATGCGTCACAAACAAATGCCTGGAATTTCTTTTCTCCACAGATGTCCACCAGGTTTTGGCTACGATCACAGCCAATCTGTAACAGAAAGGGTATTGTTAAACTGCTGGTTTTCACAGGAAGATAGTTACAGGAATGGCTCCATCAATCTCTTCTGTTCAGACACTGCACTGGATACATTTTAGTAAAAAAAATAAGTTTTAGTTAAAGGGAGAAAAAAAAATAGTCCAAATTATTTTTTTTGTTGCTGCTCATTTAAAATTGGCCTGTGGGGTACTGAACTCTCCAATTATTGCTTATGGACCCTTGATTCTGAAAAGCATGAGCTAAAATAGCCTTGGGACTGCTTGGGATAGTTCTCAAGGTACCCAGGCTATGAACCACCTTGTTACTTCCTGCCTCCAGCATGAGGGAGCCTTGCCTGTGCTAGCTGAGGGTTTGCTCCTTAACACCACCAGCCTGCCAGGCACTCAAACACTCTCCTCAGGGCTATGCCAATCCCGTCTTTACCTTGCAGATTAACAATCGATGTGCCCCAGTTCCCTTGAAATATTCCCCTGTGATATCCATCCCGACACTGGCTACTCACAGAAATCCCACATCCCCTGCTCTCAAAGGAACAGTGCACCCCACTTTACCAGTTTTACCTTATATCACCTATATATCCTGTATAATGCACAGCACTTGTGAGCACTTATAACAAAAGAAGCTTTATTTAAGAAAGAATAGGGATTCTACTAGACAAGAGAGATGGAAACAAATGGTGACAACAGAAAACAAAATCATACAACGCAAATTAGGGCCTGTGCTTATTAATGACCTTTCCTATTTAATAAATAGGTTTTCTCCACCCCAAAAGTTCAGTCTGTTGCAGAGCTGGCTGGCTTCTCAGGAACCAGGATCCAACTTTTCATGACACCACCGCCCCCAAGATATCTCCTCAGTGAATGGATGCGAAGTGTCTTTCTCCACCCTGTGATATAATGAATCAGTCTTTTGTCTTTACTCACAACCAGGGTGATTTCTGGTCTGGTATAATGTTCCCTTTTTACCTCAAAGTGGTTTCAATTGTTTGCAGTTGTCTTTTGTGATTTTCCATTCACTATTCAGAAATGGGGCAAAGCTAGACCACCACAGACTAACCACAGAGAGGTGATAACTCCCTTCTGCTTAAATGGGCCATCACCGAGTCATCTGATTCCCTCGTGACTAACTTTTACTCCAAATCTATAAGGCATCATTTCAATATAGTTACATTATGCCTTAAATATTACTGTACATGCATCTTTCAATGATTATGAATATTGATAAGTTATAAGTTTTCAGTAGAGATCTCACATGCTGTCCTGTATGGATAAATACCATGGAAGTATTAAGTGTTGTGAGTTTATCATATCTGAGACATGAGTTGCTTGAAAAGAACAGAAAACCCTTTGCCAGTTGGCACCAATGGGCCTCTGTGACACTGCTCCAACTTACATTACTGACATTTGGTCCTTCAGGTAGACAGGAACGGGGGAATGGAGTTCTGTCCTGCTCCTGATATTCTTCCTCTTCCTTCCAGCTGTTGGCTTTACACAGGGAGGAGTACCTATGTAGCTTCACACAGTCCTCCACCACAGGAACTGTTAATTGGCTACTTATAATCCAACCACTCTGCACCTTGTGTCTGGAATTTTCTGTAGTATCTGGCTGATGAATCTTGCCCATATGCTCAGGGTTTAGCTGATCGCCATATTTGGGGTCGGGAAGGAATTTTCCTCCAGGGCAGATTGGAAGGCCCTGGAGGTTTTTCGCCTTCCTCTGTAGCATGGGGCACGGGTCACTTGCTGCAGGATTCTCTGCTCCTTGAGGTCTTCAAACTACAATTTGGGGACTTCAATAGCACAGATATAGATGTGAGGTCTTTTTTAGGAGTGGTGGGTGAAATTCTGTGGCCTGCATTGTGTAGGAGGTCAGACTAGATGATCATAATGGTCCCTTCTGGCCTAAATATCTATGAACCTATGACTAGTAACCCCTTAGGTATTTAAAAACGTGGGTAATATCCAACAGGTCAACTCTAGTATCAATGGTAAAACTCTCATTCACTGACTTCACTGGAGCCAGGATTTGGCACCCAGATGCCACCTTTTTGTCTGACAAAATTTTAAACAGCTAAAATACTGAACTCCCCATAGTTGGATTTTCTAATGGAACAAAGCAATTCAGCTCTAACTCTGGTGGTGCCAGTCGTGTCGCTATAGTATTTGCTATAAAGATTCAATACACATCGACACTTCGTAGTTTCTGTTTGAGTATGGAAATGTGAAATGTGTAGGTATACACATCCCAGCCCCAAAATATCATCACAAATACAAGGGTTAGAATTGAATGTTCAGCCCTTGTGTAACTTTAACAGAGTCACAGTATATACCAAGGGAGATGGGCCACAGGGTCAGTCTTAGGGCAGATTTCATAATATGGTATTTCCTTAGTTTGTACTTCCCTTTGCATTCAAGTCAAGAGTGAAGAGAAACAGCATCTACAAACATCCTTTTACATGCCTTACATCAAAAGAATAAATCAGCGATCAGCAACGTCCTTCTGTAAAACAATCCTGCAGTGATGCACGCATCTCTTTGATTTCCAGGTCTGCCACCTGTATTGAATTTAATAGTCATGTTACCAAAATATAGTCCAAATGCATGTTGGCTGGGAATATTAAATTTATTTTTGTTTTAAATAATCATCAATAGGAAGATAATGGAAAACAAGATTCCTAAATAATATTTGCTGGCAGTGTTTGTTTTATTTGAAACAAAAAGAATTCTAAGTCAGGCTGAATGGGAGAAGAATAGCAAACCACGTGTTCCAGAGTAACAGCCGTGTTAGTCTGTATTCTCAAAAAGAAAAGGAGTACTTGTGGCACCTTAGAGACTAACCAATTTATTTGAGCATAAGCTTTCGTGAGCTACAGCTAAATTGGTTAGTCTCTAAGGTGCCACAAGTACTCTTTTTCTTTTTGAAACCACGTGTTCTGACTAATCAATTTACTAAAGGTGACAGCATAGTTTAAATTAAAAAAAATCTCTGCTGCATTAATTTGTAAAAATTACTATATCGAGAGAGAGTGTAAGAAAGAGCTGAGTTATCCATAATACCATCACATTTTCTGGGTTCAATATAGCTTAGCTTTTGAGAATACAGTTAAGGCTTCTTTGCAAATTCCTACAGGGGCTGGCAGAATCTGAGCATGCCCAGTTACCTACACTGGATGGTTCCAGCTTTCCTCTGAGTGCCACCCTGCACTGGGCTTGGATCACAGGTGCCTGGATCTTCTGTCCAGGTAGGTGTTACACCCCTGCTCCGCCTGAGGCCTCACCCCTGCTCTGTCCCTTCCCCCAAAGCCTCACCCTCGTCCTGCCTCTTCCCACCCCTGCTCCGGCCCCTCCCATCCACGGCCAAACAGCTGATCAGCGAAGCCCACCAAACAGCTGATGGGTTTTTTTCCATGGGTGCTCCAGCCCTGGAGTACCCATGGAGTCAGTGCCTATGACTTGGATCCTCCCTTTTAAGGAGCTGCCCCCTCCACGTTTGACAGGCCTCACAGGTATACCCAGCTAGGACTGACTGTGCTCAGAGGAGCTCTTTAATCACTTTCTGACTGCAGTAGGATCTTATCCCACAATACACCCACTCACACCTAAGGACAATTTGGCCCTACACTTGTACAGTAGAAATGGGCTTGGTAGTGTGAATTAAATAAAAGCCACAGAAATGACCTTGAAAGAAACCACACTGTACACTAACGAAATCCAGTGAACTGAAACTAACTGAGAAGAACAAATCACATGACAGCCAGAATGTCAGGTCCTAATTTGCATCTAAATTATATGAAATAATTGTGAAGTCAGGCTTACTTATAATGTCATACTTATTAAAGTGAATCCACTTCCCAAAACAAAAAGACTGTATCTTGTGATGATCAAGGAGACCTTGAAACATGTTGGTTACAATGCACAGTGGATCTACAAAAGGTTCACTAGGCTTAATATAACATTGTATTTAATGTAATTATGATAGAACCTGTGTGTATATGCATAAGTACTGAACGCAGAGAACCACCATAAATCTGTCTCTTACAGGAGTTAAGCAAGTTTAAGATCCTTACTAGGATTAGCACAGGATGATTTTTTATATATAGTTATCAAAGAATAATTACGATATTCCAGCATTTTATATGTTACAGTGTGAGAACTATACACATACTGTATCACTTCAAAACAAATACACATTGGCTTACGTCTTTTAAAAACAATGAGCCAGATCCTCAGCAAGTGTAAACTGGGTGAGTTCAATGGAGTGGCCCATTATTTTTATGAGTATTTTTTTTCCATAGTGAAAAGGCAGTTTTGTCTTGTGAGATGTTGTCTGGCATTTACTGCCAGAGACAGAGAGTCAGAACTCTGGGCTCCTGTTCCCAGCTTCGTCACTGACTTGCTGGAGTGAGCTAGGGAAAAATATCACTTCACCATCAGAGTGATATGGTGAAGCTTCATGTTCACAAAGCATTTTAGGGTCAGAGAAGTGCCCCATATTATCATCTAGCAGACCCTCTCCCTTACATTGCTCTCTGATTAAAAATAAAATAAATAATTAAGAAAATGCCCTACGTATAACAGGGAGCATTTTAGTTTTTGTCAAGATAAGTTTTTAAATATTGTTTTGTTCAGCAAGGGATGCTGTCCTCACTGTTATTTTCTGGAACAGTGGGGAAAGGAAGGAATTATTATTGTGTGTCCAAAAATGTGGTAGGAACCTGACAAAAATGAGTGAAGATATCAGTCAGCTGTACAATGGTAAGTTACTGAATGGTCTTCCTCTTGCATGTCTGTGCAGCACCTAACCCATTTTTTGAGCCATCACAGCCTAGATAACTAATAATAGTCCTGGAAATCCCTGGAGTCTTTGGTTAGTTCCTCAGCCAGCATCTTCATCTCCTGTTTATCCTTCTCCTCTTCTGGTTCTCACTATATGCTCTCTTTGGAAGACCTCTGGGGCTTGACCTGCTACTTCTGCTAGTCTCATTTCTTTCC